AAACAGACAGAACAAGGTAATCCAAATAGATAAAGAGTTCCGCAACAGACGTGCTCCACGCCCTTGATGACGCAGTTTGATGATAAGGACTGCTCCGAACAATGTTATCTGAAAGTCGAGCAAGTTACAAAGATCAAGGAGAGGTTGTTTGTATAGGATTAGAAGGGATTACCCATATACCAGTCACATCGATTTATACTACTCACTAGATTAACAACAGTTAATCGGCCCGGGTGCTTATGCGAATTTTTCATGAGCTGTTCTTCATGAACTTCACAGGGGTCCAGATTCGATTGTTTTGGAAATAAAGACATATCTGAAAAGGAAAGCTTCAAAGCTTCTCGCGTTAGTAATTACAGTCTGTTGGATACGCCACGCATTCGACTTCTACTCAGAACCGTAGTGGTGTTTCGACAGCCGATGTTCAAATCCGCGCTCTCATTTTCCCAAACGATTCTGTTACCAAACGACCAACCCCGAAAGAATGTAACGCTCGGTCGGGCCGAGCTGAAAGGCGGTTCCAAGTCAGACTCAATCCTTGGGCCATGCGTGTATGATACTGAACCACTTGTCACTACATTACCTCCACCCTGAAAGTGAAAATAATAACAAGAGCTCAGAAGAGAATGGATTTGAATAGGCAATAGGTAGCTATGATTTCTATTGCTATGAGGATGACAAAAACCTTCGGTTTAATATGAAATTATTGGAATCCTGCCAATTTTTGTAATTTGCTGCCCCACAGCGCTCCACTCCATTTCCTGAGCTATCATTCTGTGCAGGAACTAGGCGCAGTTTGTCTATCAGTAATTCCCCTTATCAGCGTCCAACCAACATAAAAGCCTCGAATTTCTGCTTGACTTTACACAAGTACATCCCGGCTACAATGCTGTAAGACTGGTTTTCTACTTTTCGTGTTACTTTTCCGAGAAAAATGAATTTCAAGTCGTCAGTTTCAGTGTTGTGACCGTATTAGCAACAGTGTTTGGCGTCAGCTTCGCTGCTACAGGATTCGATGCCATAGGAGTAAGTTAATGTTTCTGAAAGAGTTTGATCTTGATCTCGAATTTTCGGAAGGTCTAGAATAGGTGCTGCCAATAAGCTGATCTTAGCAGTTTTCCAAAAGAGTTCTTTGTACCCCTCGGTCCATTCTTCGAAAAACTTCATTAATATTTGCGTCATCTAACTTTGCTCCAAATAAGCATTCCCGTTCCACCTGGCGAAGCATGAAATATTTATGAGTTAATCCTTATTTGTTTTCTGAAGTAGATTTTTGCATAGTGATATTATAAAGGTACTGGGATGTTTGACTCGAAATTGACAAAAGTTGAAATGTGGACCAGGATTATGGTCCAGAATAATTTGGTCAAAAGCTGTTTAGTGAGTGAAATATTGATAACGGTGAGTAACGAATAATGATAAATACTTATCCCGCAGTATGCTCATGAGTCTGTTCTTTCAATGCTTGTCAGTGGATTGTGTATCGTTGTTGTTGATCTCCATGGAATAACGAGAATACATAAGTATTTACAATGTGTGAGGCTCTCGATGGCAAAAGTAGTTTGTAATGTGATGATATTTCCTGTAACCCCTTTCGCTTGAAATGACATCCAAGACGCATGTGTGGGAAAAAAGTCAAAGAATTCAAAAAAAGTTCCTTCTTTCTCTTACTTTCACAAAAGATCCCTTATTTGATGTTATTTACTACCTAGACCCTTCAATAGAGCACTTACAAACAAACAATAGTCTGTAAAACAAAATTTCAGGCAATTTCCACCTCGCAATTCGAATGCATGAAATCCCATGGACACTCATTCTTCATTGGACGAGTTTTCCGATCAAACGGTGCTGTTGACAGCCAAGGAATTCAGAACATCAAGAATGCTCGCGCAGGTGCATATAATTTCAGAATTAAGGTGAAAATAACCTAGGAAGAACAATGTTCCTTGGTTACTTCAAACCTTACAAGTAAACAATGCAAGTGAAAGTAGAATATGCCTGAAGAGAAACTACCACTCTAGTCAGTCGCAGATGAGAACTTCAAAGACTTTGAAGACTTTGAAGACTTTGTTGCAGGTGGAATTGCTAACGTCGATGGATACATCTTCCCCTGCCTGTCCTCATCTTGCCCAAGTGCTTCAAAGCAGGTAATCTTGCAGAGTATCACTAGTATGGTGTTAAAAGAGTAAAGAGTACTTATTCAAACGCCAGATTTCTGAAGCATCAACTGCACTGAAGAATGCTGGAGCTAAAGTTGGTATGCTCTGGCTCGATATTGAGACGTACCAGTGGCCAAGTGATCACGCAAAAAACCGTGCCTTCATCGAGGAAATGGGAAAAGAACTGACTGTAAGAAAGAATTATTCTGCTTTTATACTTGTAATGTGACCTAATTTTAGCCGGGACCGTCTGGTCCGGTGACCATCGAAGTTCCCTTTGAAAAACCGTTTTTATTTTTGAAGTATTGAGATCTCTCCTTCTAGTCTCTTGGATACAACTGGGGAGTCTACAGTAACTACAACAACTGGCAATCAATCGTTGGTCTCGACTATACTGGTATGAAAGGAAAACAGTTGTGGTGGGCCACCTACAACAATGAAGCTGTAAGTGTAATTACTTAACTCCTTTATTTATTGAATTCTATGCGAACGTATTTTGATGGCCGTTTACCATTACACTAGCCGATGGTTCAAAATCCTCATGAATAATTTTACTTTTAATTTTAGTGAAAACTACTTTATTACTCGAAAGAAATTGTAAAAAGTAAAAATTGACTACTTTCAATTCTCTTACCTGAACCAAAATTATTTTAGAACTTCAACAACTTCAAGGCTTTCGGTGGATGGACTAAACCGAACATCCATCAATACAACGGTGATGTCTCTGGTCCATGCTCATTCTCCATTGATACTAACTGGTATCCTTGAACATCGTCATCCTACTGCTTATCTCAGCACTATGTAGTTCAAGATTTTCTCACGAGCTTTAATAAATGATTCTTGGAATAAGATCTACAACCACTTAGATTTGAGCTATTATTAATGCACTTTTCACCCTCACACCATTACAAGGGGCACAAAATAGAGCCAAATATTGGGAGTATAAATAGTATCAAAAATAATTAGAAAAATAACGTCAAACGAATACCAGGACGGCCATGAGTTTGATGGTCAGCCCCATTCAGGAAAACTTTAAACGAAAGAAATATATGTCTCGAGCGCGGACAATCCGCTTGCGACAGGGACCGATGTACATGTTACTGGCGCCCGCTCGAAGTAATCGATAATCAACGGGACGATAGGTGGTACTGGTGAATAAAAAAAAATCAAAATCAGGCGGAAATATGTGACTTCACGCGTAGTGTGAATTTTCAGAAGTAAGCCCTCGTGTTTGGCAAGACCGTTTTGGAACTTCCCTGGTAAGGATGGCGAGGCGATGTAATCATTTCTTTGTGAACACCTCAAAGCTACCGTATTCGACGGGAGCTTTGAGGTGTTCTCAAAGAAATGATTACATCTTCTACTGATGCATTTTCATCTGAGTGGGGAGCTTACTAGAGATTTAAGAGAGAGATAATATCAAAAATAATACCATACCATACTCTGTGATACCAAGAAACACTTAATGTTTTATTTAATACTTCGAACTTCGAGAATAGTTAAGGCGAATAATTTTTCAAATTCTGACATTCCAAGCAATACAAGTAACAGCACGGAACCAAAAAACTTCGTCCCGTACCTTCTGCTCTCCTGGGGTCAATACAATTAATATTATACAAATGACATCCTGTTGAGAAAATCAGATCAAAGTTTCAACAAGTTCCAACACTGAACTGGTAATGTCATTGCAGTAGTGCAGGTGAAATAAGAATAGAAAAGCACTTTCTATACATTGTACATTTGGTCGCCTACTAACAAATTAAGCATGCAAGGGGGCAATAGGGGACCATATAGTTTGGGTTCACGTCGCATTCACCAGTTGCTGCCCAGAAATTACATAATTTGTGATTGTTTTCGCATCCTAAAAGGTAATTTGTGTGGAGAGAAGTTGTAAAAATCAATTGACCTTCGTGCTCATTTCTAGTAAAAACTGTTTACCTTTCCGTGGGGTCGGAGCGAAGACCGTGTCAACCTCCTCGCCACAGGATCGACATGATCGTTGACAGTGCGGTCGCATCCAGAATGGATTTCTAGAACAAAATGTATTTGTTAAAATAAAGGTGATCTCTAATGGGAGGGCATGGGGCCCTTTCCAATGAGTCCCACTCCTCTTTGAGTCCCCTTATTCGTGTTTAGGCATGCTTGCTGCCCTGACCTACCAGAAAAATGGACGTTTCCGAGAGTTGTAGCATGAAAGTGGGGTCCTGGAACCACCTCTGAACTAGGTCATCTTACGATGAAGTAAGTAGGGCAATTGGGGGCATCATGAGAACCATTACGATTTTCCAATAATTCCAATCGATACTAAACAACTCAAAAGACCCAAAGTTTCCAGAATGTAGTCTATTTTTGGTCCTGAATTAGCTATTCATTTCTCGTCAACACTCTCTCATAAAAAACCAAACAAAAAGCTTCCATTTCCCGTTCGGTTACGACTTTGACGAA